GTTTTGTTCAATAAAAATCTTTCAAATGCGACTGTAGCTTTTTTTTTTTTTCCACAAAACTTTGTCTTCAAAATAAGGGTGCGTCTTGTACACCAGTGCATCTTATATTCCGAAAAATATGGTAACTGTATTCCCACCACAAACAAACATGCTTTAAATCTATAAGGATTTTGTAAAACTATACTAAATGTTTAGAGAAATCAAACTGACAATTACACTTCATAACATTAAATGGAAAAAACAAAAACAGAATCATTTCAAGGAGCATAAAACCATGTAATTGAAGCAACCATATCTAAAAAAATAAAACTTAAAAATTCTCTAATGACTACTTATGTTCAAATCAGGCTTGAGATGAAGTGTGACAAAGTTTTGTTAATACTAGCATAATCCACTTTCATTACAGCCAGAATTGGAATTATAATCAACAACTTCAGAAAAATGAACAGTGCCTCTGATGAACAAGTTCTTCATACTAAAAAGTAAATCAAACCTAAACTCGTGCCAAATCTTATATACAAGTTTAATACAAGTTTTCTTTTTCAGCATTTTTGAAAATAACTGTACACTGGGTAACTGTACATTTTAACACCAAGTGGTACAAGCATTTGCAAATAATGCAATTTTGGGGTGTACAAAACACAAGAATCAAATTTTCACTCAATATTATATTTTGATAATTCTTTCCCTACTTCATGAACAAGCTGATTTTATTCTCTTCTGGTGTCTCTTATTTTCCTCATGGTTGTGTGCTGTTTGCAAGAAATAGAAGTAGGTTTTGAGTTGCTGAGCTGGACGATATGGTGTTTGGGTGTTGCTGTCAATAGATACTATTAAATGCAAAATCTTCACTGAGTTTGATAAAGTGTAAAAATACAAATTGTTCACAAAAACGATTTAGTTGTGAAAAATATATTCCTATAAAAAATCTTTTTTTTTATAAATGATTTGTAAAAAAGCATGTTACATTAAGTCTAACCAAAGTTGAAAAAATGTAGTGAGAAAATGGGTACATGGCTAAATGAGATGCTTACAGCTGTTTATAAACTTCAACTGAATTCCATAAGCACATATTTAACCAATTCAGAAATGCTACTTGCCTCTCCATGGAACTGAAAGCTAGAATCCCACATTGATTTGATGGTGGAGGGATCGGTGTTGATATAGAAAATGAAAAAAGATGAGCTTCTTTCTGAAATTATAGCATTACTGGGTGGGGAGGCCTAGAAGAGCATAACTTTGTGGAAGACTGTACTCTTACTCAGCACTGCTTGGCTTCATACATGTTTTTTCACTATGAATTACAAAATTTTTGTTCTTATTGTTTTGAAATTTTAGTAACCATATTCGTAGTGTAGTCTTTCTTACCTTTATTTTCTTGATTTTGAGATAGAAAGATATAAAATATTTCAAATAAATCTTCTGATTTGAGTTATATTAATTCCAAAACATACATACCTCTGTTGACACTAATAGTTATTTCTTGATCTTCATCTTTGCCATCTAACATTGTGTTCGCTTGCTCCACTCTTTATATACCTCACTCGACTGCCCTTGGCAATATCTAATTTGCAAAACTTTATGCTAAACTTTAAAGATCGAGAAATAGCCATTAGTGTTAGCGGAGGTAAGTATGTTTAGAAATACATTTTCAGTTTAGGAAAATGATAACTTTGATTTATTCTTTTCATCAAATTACAAAGTTTTGGAACATGTGTTCCAAAGTCTGTGTTATGGTTTCTTTTACCATACTATTCCCTATCATTATTAACCCAAGTGTGGGTTTTGATACTTAGTCTTCAATTTCATTGAGGCCTAATTACAATGGACATACCAGACCAATTTAGAAAAAAATTTGTGGAGCATCTGAACTATGAACTCGCATGTCCATGTTTCTGACACTCCACAACAGGAGTTACCTGTTACTCTTGTCATTGGTGAATGGAGGCACTCTGACTCTCAGCAATTTTATCATAATTGTGTATCAGGTGGTTGATTCCATTCCAATCTCGGATCCAGGATTTTCAACTTCTTACTTCTGTTGCTTCAGCTGAGCCTGTCTCATCTTTAGATGATTTTACCTGCTGTTTCTTTTGATTTTGATTTTTCCTATTCTGATGGAAAACAAATAGCCTCATTTTTGTCCTTTGCTGGGTTCTTTCCTGATGTATGTGACATTTCTTCTCTTTCTCCAGTTGTATTTTGCTGAATCTTGGGTTACCATCAGTCCCTTGAATCTCTTCTTTCCACTTGAGGTTTCTTTCTTTTCATTTATCTCACTCTTGCCTTCGGTCTTCTCATCTTCGTCTTGTTCTTGCACAGGCTTCTTTGTTATCTGTCCACACACTATCTTCTTGCAGAGGCTCTGCATTGCAACACCAACAGCTTCACTGGGGGAAAATTTCACCTATCTGTTCTTCAGGTCAGGATTCTTAACTGCCTGGAGTCAGTTCCTTCAGTTTTATCTGAAGGACCTCTGTGTAGCATTGTTCCTTCATGATAAGGTTCTTGGGATAATTCTTTATGTATTGGAAACTTGAGCTGAGACAGTTTGTCAGTTTGGTTTTTGTAGAAGCATTGCTTGGTCCAAGGGGTCCATACAGGTTTCTTTTCTTCAGGATTCTTATGGATGTTTTTTTTGTTTTTTTTACAGATCCCTTGTCACCACTATTATATCTTTATGGAGCCCACTACAATACTTCTCTCATCTGCATGGATTGGATGATAACAGAACTGTTAAGCTCATCTGTCCCTGCTATGTGCCTGCTGTTGAGATAAGATTTTCTGGAAGAGTGTTTCATTTGTGTGTGTGTGTGTCTCTATATATATATGATATGTATGTATTCTAGTTTCCAGGCCATAGTTTAGGAACTTAAAGACAGCACCAGGTGTGATCCTGCCCTCACACCTGGCTAATGACTGCTGTCCATATTTGTGGTAACCCATTGCATAGTGTATTTCTGTGGGACTTTATGTAAATCAAAGAAGATTCCCATTTGATCCATGCACCTCTCTGATGTTCTCCCCTACATGAAATTCTCTCCATCCCTCCTTATAGTGGAGTAATGGGCGAATCCTTGCTTCCCCAGTTAGGAGCTGCTGGGGAAGGGAGGGGTCAATATGAAAATATTTCTCCTCCGGTCAGTGTATACTGACTGGTATGAGTCTATGTGGATGCAGTGCCTTATTTGGAAATAAGGCTGGAATATTTACTGGAAGTGTAGTAGAGACCACCTCCCTATACTCAGTACCATACCATTCCCAGTGGTTAGGCTAACTGGATGGATCTTGTGTTCACCTAGGGATGTAGGTCTGGAATGTTTTCTGCTGCACATTCTTTTTCTATTACATATTTTATGTATTTTTCACATATTGTACAGCCTGACTTATTGCCCTAGCCACAGTACACAACTATGCTCAGCTAACTGCCTGATATATAATTGCCATTTGAGCAGTCATACATTCTGCCCACCTATGCAACACTTTAGCATCGTGTAGAAAGTTCTTTTGACAGTATTTTTGTTCCCCCATCTCATGCTGCATGATTTTTTCCTTTTTTATGCTATAAGTTCAGAAAGAAGCTAATCTCATTAGTTTTCTTTATCTACACCAGCTCCTTCATCATTGTATCAATGTGAGATTTTAGCTCTCATTTCTGAAGTTGACATTATCCTACCTGAAAATGAAGGGAGGAAGGGTGGATGGTTTTGTGGAGAGGTAAGCATCTATCCGAAATATATTTTCAAGTAAAGGTAATGTAAACTTTGAGCCTCATAGTAAGTATTGTTTAAGCTGGACAGAACGTTTTAAAAGGAAAAAGGTGTGAAATATTTTTTACTATTTATATTTTAAATAGTGGTATTTTAAGTTTACAATTCACACTTTTAAATATAGAAATTAATAGTCTCACACATTTTTGTATTAATTACTTCATGTAAAGTGGAAAAATATTATTTTACTGGTAACCTTTATAAATAAAAAAAATAAAGCAATACCTACCCCAAACTCCAGAGTTTTACCCTGTTCTGAGTATGCTAATAAAGACATACAAGATACTGAATTTTCTTAAATGCAAAAGTAAGTTGAGCATTGTACTTTCAATCTATATCATTGCTAGAGCAAAAATTTATATCATACTTTAATGAGTGCTTTCTTCCTTTCTTTGAAAATAGTCAGTGCAGTTTTGGAACTCATTTGTGATTATTGGTACAAGTACATTACACACATGTATATATATATACAGTCATAGGTTCAGCATTTAACTATCCATCTAATGTAGGAAGTTTAAAAGAAGCTGCCTTTCAGTTGTATTCAAACTATATTTATTTTTTCATAATTATGAAACAATGTCAAAAGTGTAAACAATTGAGGTAGTTTTATTTCTCCAATAGGGTGGTAATTCCGTGGAACAAGCTACCATCTAGAATATAATTTTCCAGGAGTTTAAGTAAAGAGTGGATTAATGTTTGAAG